GTGTTGATAAGCCCCCTAAGAGGTCCAGCTGCTCGTTAAACATGGAGAACCACTTTCTTTGAGTATATCAAACTTGAAATGCTGCTTGTACTCCTAGGTTCCTGGTGAAGCTATTTGTAGCATGAAAATAGAAATTTGCTAAGTAGTAACACACTGACCTGAAAAAAGACTCATTTTTTTTAACAATTGTTTTTCTAATCTCTAAGACATATAAAAATCATTCCTCATTGATAAAATATTGCCCCTTCTTCAAACACTTCCTCTTCTAGGCACTTTTCTCCAAATCTCCCACATAGATATTCTTATGTTGTGTTCTTTGTAAGGTACTAGCCCCAAATAGTATGTTAATAAAAGACTTTTTACTTTTCACAATAGACATGTAAAATTTACTTGGTGTAGATGCATGATTACAGAGTTTGACTATCTCTTGGGGGAAAGAAACACTGCCCAGATTATAAGACCAAGGACCAGGTTCTGGATTATTTGTTGTCTGCTCTTTGTAACCCTGTGATACTTCTAGGCTTCTGTTATCATACACAAATGTTAGATGAGAAAGAGCTTGGAGGTCTTAGGTAAGAGCTTGGAGGGGACAAATCATTGAGCAAAGCACTTTAAAAAGGAGTCTTTTCTGATGAATCCTCTCACCTCTGTTCCTTTTTGCAAAGCTCAGGAGGCCTTGGAGAGAAGATTATTGTGGTAGTTTGTTAGGACTGCCATAACAAAGTACCACAGACTGGGTGACTTCATGAAAATATATTTTCTCACAGTTTTGAGGTGGGAAATACAAGATCAAGGTATTGGCACCATTGCTTCTTCTGAAGCCTTTCTCTTTTTCTTGTAAATGGCTGGCTTCTCTCTATGACTTCACATAGTCTTTTAATGCCTGTCTCTGCTTATAAGGACAACAATCATACTGGATTAGGGCCTATTGTATAACCTCATTTTACCTTAATTACCTCTTTAAAGACTCTGTCTCCAAATACAGTCACATTCTGAGGTAGTGAGGATTTTGATTTTAACATATTAATTTTGAGGGGACAAAATTCAGTCCATAACAATTGTGCATGGCTTTGATTACTCATTTGTAGATTGAACTTGTTAATACTTCAGAATATAAATGGGTTGTAAACTTGTAGGTGAAATCTGGCTGATGTATTCCATTAGAGAGATAGCCCTACCACATTCCAACTGGGTCCCTGAAGCTACAGATATGCTCCATTACCATCCCCAAATGCCAAAGAATGAATGAGCCATCTAGAAGTAGGCAAACAACCACATTTGCTAAAAGGATAATGTTTCATCCATTAAATAAATGTGATACCTTTTTCTAGTCTGGTATCAATATAGAAGGCTTGTGAAAAATGAGTTAGCTGAGAATTAATTGACTGCGGAGACTCTATTTTCAGTCTCTGCCTGTATTTTTTGAATTAATATACACAGTGGGTGATTCAGCAAAAGGGTTTAAAAATAAATTCTTTATTGAAGGATCCCACCAATTTGATGTCTTCATAATTCATGAAGAGTAGACCCATAATAGCTCTATTTTCTCTTCAACTTTGAAAATAAAAGATGCCATTAGTTTAAATTAGGCTTGTATGTGGAATAATCAAGTGTATCAACAAATATAGTTTGACTCAGATGCTGTTTAAGACTAAGAATAAATGCCAGAAAATAACTGGCTAGTTCTTTTAAAAAATTAAATATGAAAATTGTATTGACAAGCTAGGGTAAAAGTGTTTCAAAGAATTGATAGACAATATATAAATTTATAAAATTCAATTATGAAAACTCAAAAATATAATAAGCAAATAGTTAATGTAGAATGGCTACTCTTTTAAAGCGTACTCTTAGAATATAAAGAAAATAGAATATAAGACATCTTATTAGAGACCTGGCTGTATTTGAATATAAAGAAAATGTCATTAGAGACCTGGCTATATTTGTAGAATATATGAGCACTCAGGCTAGTTGGTGAATATGTAGGTATGGAGTCGCCAAAAAGCATCTTTACAATGTTGTATTAGGAAGTTCCTACACTGGCTAGAGAAGGCCCACATGGAAAGAACTGTAGTATAAAATGTATTTACTTGATTTATTTGTTTCCGCTGAGAAGTTCAAACCCCCGAGGAAGTAGACCGTGGATAGTATTTTATCTCCTCTAGCTGTGAGAAATGAAAGGATAGAGAAGTGAATTGGATTTGTCTGAAAGCTTCTGGAGCCAGGAGGCACATGGGACTGGTGCTCAGGTGTCTATTTCCAGGCATTATTCAGCAATTTGGTCACATAATTTTCTCTAATATTAGATTTTTTTTTTCAACTGGTGAGTGGCATAGTTGAAGAAAAAACTTTATGAAGACGTAAGGTCTTGATCTAAACCCTAAGAAGGGAAAGAGTAAGTAAATGAGGTTATATACATGAAGGAACACTTTTTACTTCAGAAATTTTTATTTTCCTCCAGAGTGTATAAAATTGTGTACTTTTAATCTGTAGTTTTCATTCTAATCTGCTAGTATACTTTGATAAAAGCATAATTTCATAGGTGTATTACATTCGTGGGACTTGTGTTTATAGTGGTTAGGTCTTAAAAAAAAAAAAATCTAAATCTTATTTATCTATATCAGTTGTTGACTTTGCAGATCACAAAGAATACATAGCCAGTCATGCAGAAAGTACCTGTTCGTCATCCTGAGAGTTCAGACATGAACTGTAACCAGTGGCCCATTAAGTACCTTCTCTTGTTGTTTAAAGCATATCCTGGCTTTGCAAATTAATTGTTAATGCAGAATGTTGTAACGGAGCCATGGAATGAAATTCCTAGTACTCCAGTCATAGTAGAGATTGTGTCAAGTACTCTGAGTTGTGTTCCATTGTTTTGTGATTCTGTGCTATTGGGAAGTCTTGCCTAGAGAGTGTTTAGAAATAGGGAAGTTAAGAAATAGCACAGTTTGCTTTTTTGGACTGTGTGTGTGATTTTCCATTGATAGTAATATTGTAATAATTTCTGAGAAATAAAATTCTTCTTCTTTGTTTATAAAAATGTTACTTGTCAAAGTACTCACAAATGCTTTCCATAAGAAAATGTTTGACTTTTTTTTGCTGTAAAAATGATTACATATACTACATTTAATGAAGTAGAGGACATTCTTGTAAGATTGATACAGTAGGATAATATGCATGCCATTGACTATTGTTTTTTTTTTTTTTTTTTTTTTTGAGACGGAGTCTGGCTCTGTCGCCCAGGCTGGAGTGCAGTGGCGCGATCTCGGCTCACTGCAAGCTCCGCCTCCCGGGTTTACGCCATTCTCCTGCCTCAGCCTCCCGAGTAGCTGGGACTACAGGTGCCCGCCACCTCGCCCAGCTAGTTTTTTGTATTTTTTAGTAGAGACGGGGTTTCACCGTGTTAGCCAGGATGGTCTCGATCTCCTGACCTCGTGATCCGCCCGTCTCGGCCTCCCAAAGTGCTGGGATTACAGGCTTGAGCCACCGCGCCCGGCCGACTATTGTTAATAGTCCAGTTGTGAGATGAAATCCACCATGAAACACAGTAATGTTTAATTTCATATTTAAGACAGAACTAAATTTCAATTTAGAAAGTTCTTATATAAAAATTTCAGGAACACCTTTATAAACTAATTAAGAAGGATTTTTGTCTTAAGGGTTTATGTGTCTGGTGTAAGATAGTTATACCTGTCTAATTTTTTTTCTTTTTCTGATTTTTACTTCTCACATATTGTATTAATGGTGCTTGGTGTGGGGAAAAAAAAAAAAAGATGCTGTGACATTTTCTTCTCTTTTCCCTTATTTTCTACTCTAAAATACATATAATTTTGCAAATATTTATTTACCTTAATAGCTCAAACTTAGCTAACATTACAGCTTTCTAATGGGCATGATTGTAGGTACCATGAATCATTGTCTAGTAAAGAGACTGTTCAAATATGATATTATTTTACTGGTTATTTTCCCCACAGAGAAACTCTTGGCGTGAAATAGAGCTCCAAAAAGAGTGTTTTGGGGGAGATGGGAAAGGGAGGATTGGGAGTCTGTAAAGGGAATAATCTCTTGTGGTAATAGGCGTGAGGTAATAGTCATTTTGATTATATGAAACAAACAAAAAAGCTTTGAATGGGTGAGTATCTGTACAACTAGGTAGAGTGAGAACATAATGAAATCCCTAACATTTAAAACTAACAATGTAAAGTATAAATGTAATTATCTTTTAGCAAATAATTTTACATGTCAATTTTCTCAGTGGAAGATTTTGACAGTCTAAGTAGTAACATTTGAAGCTTTTGGGTCAGAATCTTTACCCCCTTCCACTTTTCATCATTCTCAGAGAATGCCAAAGGGTTGGAGACATTTTTATATAGCTGATAGCAGGGAGAGCATCATTGGAAGAAGAGCTAACATTGATAACACTTGCTCTGTGTCGGCCACTGTCCTCAGCACCTTAGGTAAACCCCATTTTACCTTACCCCATTTTACCTTCATTTTACTCTTCTCCTGGAGTCTAATATTCCCAAAGATATAAATGTTGATTGAACTAGGAGATTTGACATTTTTAGCTTCTCATTTTTACAGATGAAGAAACTGTGTCTTAGTGAAGTTGGGTTAAACTCTATAGTGTTACAACACAAGGTGAGAGTCAGAGCTGGATGCAAACCCTGTTCAGTCTACCACCAAGGTCCATGCTTTCTTCCATGGATCCACAGAGTGTGATTTACTGTGATCACAATCACATGTGATCTTCTTTTGGCTGCTTGTGACAACCTGACAAGTTTATTTTTGAAGCTCAACCCATTGCTTACATAGGGAAGAACATTCCTAAGTTATAAAGAAGAGCTGGTGCAAGGAAATCATCCAGGTGTGAAATAGGAATTCAGAGCTTGTTTTCTTGGTTTATCCATGCTCAGTTGTGTGTGCCCTGATGTTCATTAGGGTGTTTTAAGTGTCTTCACTGGGTTACAATAACATGGATTTTTTCTCTCTCTCTCTTTCAGGTATGGAAAAATTGTATCTACAAAGGCAATTCTTGACAAAAACACAAATCAGTGCAAAGGTATGTGTAAGGGCATCTGTACCCTGAAATTTTGCCTATGCTATCTGATTAATGGCTCTTCCATTGTAGAGGTCCAGGTACCAGCTCCGCAGTGATCACAGTGCCAATGTTTTGATAAGTTGTATTTCTAGTAACATTGCTCATTAATTTTTTTCATTAGCAAACAAAATGAAAATCACAAATCAGAACAAGTATCAAATTGCTTCAGCATAAAACTAAATTACCTCCTAACAACTTTGGGGTGTCTGATGTGAATGGTATCATCAGTGATGCAAATTGATTTCCTATATAATAATGAGGAACTCTGGGGAAAACTTCCCCATGCAAAACACATTTCAATTTATCTGTTCTTTAAAGCTTTAGCAACATTGGTTGGCTAGGAATAAATTTACTGATGGGCCTATTGTATTAAGCTTCAGTTACAAGCATCTCACGGGATTTCAGAGTTGGTATCTTATTAAGACAGACTTCGGTTTTCCTGGAAATACTTCTGAAGTCATCTGACTATATCTGTGGTTCATGTTTCTTCATGTCTGGGAATCCTGTGTTCTTTTAAAAGTTGCATTAAATTAATTGTGGAACCTGTATGGTCTCTCTTGTGTGACTCAGAAAATTAGAATGCTTCTTATAACATGTTGTTTGTTGTTCCTTTAATCTAGTCTTTGAAGTAACACTGAAATCAAGAAGTATAGTAGAGCCACGTTCATTCTAAACACTGCCCCTATTTCATATACGAATATAATGTGCACAAGTTTTAGGAAAGAACACTAAGAAACTCCTGTATATGTATCTCCTTACCTACTTGAATAATGGTAGTCAGATTCAATTCAGCAGTTAAAAAAATAAAAACATTCCATGTCTTCTATAAACTTAGAAATGAACTACATTGCACTCCAACCTGGGCTTCAGGGCAAGACTCCCTCTCAAAAAAAAAAAAAAAAAAAAAAAAAAAAAAAAAAAAGTATCAATAAGGACAGAAAAAACAAGGACCAATAAGGACAGGTTAAAATTTTGTAGGTTTTTAAATGATATCCTGGATATTTTACATTTAATTCCATATGCAACATGGATCTCTTAGTAGTTTTTGAGAAGACAAAATATGATTCTGTAGGTGTTTAGTAAAGTTATTTCAGCAAAAGTGTGTGAAATTGAATTATAAAAGGAGAGAGTGGAAGCAACAACAACAAAAAAATGTAGGCTTCAAAGCCATAGTACAAGAGAGAAATTAGAAAAAAAAAAATCAGCTTAACTATTACTATTAGGATAATAGAAAGGGGTTCACCATGAAAGTTTTTAAAGGTAGAGTTGGCTATTGACTCCATGTTGAGTCTTCTGATTGGGAAAGATGCCCGTGCCACTTGCTGAAGTAAGAAGTCCAGAAGTAGTAGTAGTAGGTTCTGGGGAGAAGGTATTGGACATGCTGAGTTAGAGTCTCTGGCATGGCAACCATGTGGGAGATGTCAAAGAGGGAACTGTCAGAAAGTCCAGGGCTACAGATGCTGACTGAAGTCAAGGGAGTAGATAAGATTACCAAGGAATAATGTGTAGAAGGGGAAATCGAGTGGAGTGAATTAGGGTGGGCAGCTGAGAACTTGGAGAACATGTAAGAAGAAAGCTGGGCCATGACGAAGGGATGTTCTGTCAGTCTTTTCCTGTGGGAAGCATGTGACATGTTTGAAGCATTAGAATGCTAATTATATTGCATCTAGACCTGCCCAGCCCATATACAAAGTCTTAGGTTAGGCACTTCATAATATTGGTCAAGCACCAATCAGGAGCAAAAATGCTGCACAGATAAGCAACACCTGGAAACCTCAATAGATAGATTCATAACTGGAATGGTCAATATGAAGGGATACTTCCCTATGCGGAGTTTTGCTCAAGCATGCAGATGTCTATGGTTACAGTACAACACTGAAGACCATGAAAATGTAAATTGCCAACAAGTAAAAACTGTACCCTTCTATAATTGTGAAGGTTTGAAGAAAAAGGGATGTAACTGAAAATGGGTGGTCAGGGTCTCCATAAGCAAATTATATAGTGGGAGTGTGGGTGTTTATCAGGACGAATTATACTATAGGTATCCTTACCTCAGCTCCTAAAATCCCTATCCACACTTTTTTTTTGCAACAGATTATTTAATTTTCTTGTTCTGTGGAGAGATTCCTAAAATCAGTGGAAACAGGGCCTGTGTACTGTAGAAAACTTATCTCCAAAGTGGGATGTGTGAAGGGTGGTACAAGACTGTTTATTGGAGATACTAAAAGAAAATATTAGAATTTACATCTCTCTGTTTTTATATCAACATTTTGTGAACAATATATATTAATATAGTCTTACAAATACATAGATTTCAAATAAATATGAAAATATTGAGTTTGCTGCTTCAAAATACTTTTATCTCTAGTGATATGAATAATGACCTCACCAATAAATATGGAAGAAGAAAAGGAGTAAGAGAAGGAGGTAAAAAAGGAAGGAAGAGAGGGAGGGAGGAAAGAAGGGGCTGTGGAATAGCCTAGGAAAATCACTTATAGAAAGGCATCTGTAAGAAATTGGACAGTGGTTAGGCCGGGCATGGTGGCTCTTGCCTGTAATCCCAGGACTTTGGAAGGCCGAGGTGGGTGGATCACGAGGTCAAGAGATTGATACCATCCTGGCTAACACGGTGAAACCCTGTCTCTACTGAAAATATAAAAAATTAGCCGGACGTGGTGGCGGGTGCCTGTAGTCCCAGCTGCTTGGGAGACTGAGGCAGGAGAATGGTGTGAACCTGTGAGGCAGAGCTTGCAGTGAACTGAGATCGTGCCACTGCACTCCAGCCTGGGTGACAGAGTAAGGCTGAGTCTCAAAAAAAAGAAAGAAAAGAAATTGGACAGCGGTTAGACCGTTTGCACTGAGCGTAATATGAAGCCGGCAAAGTGATCATGTGTCCATTATATTCTTATAAAAGCTTCCCGTTGCCTTGCTTATCCTCAGCATGCGGAGTCTGTGCTCAGCAGTGGTGAGTGAATCGCAGCATCAAGCACATCATGGGGGAGGTGCCCTGTAAGTCAGCAAATTCTGATAAAAAATTTACTACTATCACTTCCATGTTTTTAGAAAAATTCTATTTGAATGATATGCTGATGTCTATTAGAGTATTTCCTTTCAAAAAATAGACCTTGACATAGTTATGAGAAGATATGATTAGAAAGACAGCAGTTATAGAAAATTGTGTATAATTGTTCAATAAGTTGCGGAAGTTAGGAAAAAGCTGTGAGGTCATGGAAAGGTTCAAGGAACTGGTAAGAACGAGTGTTGCAACAATCATCTAAATGTTTATTGGAATTGCCAAGAAATGAAGCAGGAGTAGTATTAGAAAAAGCGACTAATCCAAAAGGTATCTGTGGAGAAATAATGGGATGGGAAATGATACTAGGGATCTGTAGACCATGATGAAAATGAAGACTAGTTGGTTATAAAATTTGATGATGTGAGATTCTAAATTGGAGAGTTTAGGTAGGGGAGAAACCATACTGAGAAAGGAGGCAAGAGGCCTGCCACTTACAAATCCAGTGGGAGGAGGGATGTGGGAGAGAAAAAAGAAACAAAACTCAAAGTTGAGAGGGCTACAAGGGAAGTAGTGTCCTCAGGGTGAGTTAGGTAATGATGGGAAACATGCAAATTAAAGCAATATGCAGTGATAGTTTATAACCACTGAAGTAGCAAACATTCTAACATGTAGGCCGTTCAACGCTGTTCACTCTGAAACTGGTTCATCCATTCTTCATTGGTACCATGCTAAATTGGTATAGCCTTTTGAAAGTCAGTATGGAAACAGCAATAAAGGGCATACAGTTGAAACTAGTTAGTCTGTCGAGAATATTTATTCAAATATGTTATCTAAACATATGTTTTAAATTATGTATCTCTGTACAACTCTGAACACTCTCATTTTCCTTACTAGGAAAAAATATAGGAAGCATCCAAATTCTAGCTTATGGAGCATATACAACTGTTATGTAGCTGTTAAAATGGTAGTCATAAAGACTAGACTATGCCAAGCCTAGAAACATGTTTATTATATGAAGTTAAATCAATATAAAAGTATATAAAATAACGTGTACACAGAATATGGAGCTCTGTAAATATTTGAGAGTCAGCATCAGTGTGGTGATGTCTGTGGTAGATCCAGGCTGCCTGGGTTGAACACTGCCTCTTCACTTAGTAGCTGTGTGACCTGTGGTAAATGAATCAATCGCACTGTGCCTTCTGCAAGGTAAAAACATCAGCAAGGTGATAACAGAGCCTCACTCACAGGGTGTTGTGATGATTAACAACGTTAATACATGGAAAATGTTTGACGATATCTCCTGTTACTTTTGTATAAAATACTGGCAATATCAAGCAAGACAAAAATGTTTGTTTTAACATAGTGGGATTATGGGTGATATATTATTATTATTATCTTAACATTTCTCCAATCTGTTCTGTTGTCTTTTCGGGCAAGAAAAAAAAAATACAGCTCTTGGAAAAATTAAGCTGGTTTTAATTATGCTTATATTTTGGTTGTTCTTTCTATGGAACCTGAGTAACTCATGACTATATGTTTCTTCGTTTTTGTAAAATAATTCCAGATGAAAATAGTGAAGAATTGGGAGAGAATAGCATGCTTTGCTTTTTAAAATAATAGGCGGAGGTTGAGTACTTCTTGACCATTGTTTTGTTTAGGATGTGTGAGGCGGCTTTTTCAAACAACATCGTTAAGAGCATCAAGACTGTCATCATTAGAGAACACAAATTGGATTTGGTCTTCTCTGGGACACTTGGTTTTGAATACTTTGCAACTTTGTCTCCAGGCAAAGGCTATACAATTAAATCTGAACATTAGGAACTCAAGGATTTGTTTATTTTTATTTTTAAAGACATGATAGGAATCCAATTCTTCATTAGCTGTTGCACATACAGCATATTTTGTGTAAGTTAGTCTTTACCAAGGTATGAGAAAGTCCATGAAC